CAGAAAAATGCAAGAATGAAGGGAAAATGTAAACCATATGCGAACCGCCCTTCCTTACATGCTGATGTATTTTTTCTCGCACCCGCTCTCGACTAATTAAGCCAAATAGTGGTCGGAACGCCTCCCCGTCGAGCTGGAGTGACGACGGCGGCGAGCACACTTAGTGTATGGTCTAGGACTTCTCATAAATGGCCAATAAGCAAGCTGGCCTGGCCGATGGGCTGGGCGCGGTGCGTCGTCTGCTCCTTTGGCGCGGATGACTGTTTCCGCTCGGCCGGGTACTGTACGACTTCCTCGCGCGAATGGCACGCCGCCGTCGGGTCCCTCGCGCTGGGGTCCCACGGTAGCGCGGCGGGGTGTGGCGCCGAGCGAGCAGCAGCGAGCAGGCTCGCCGGTGAAAGGGGCGTTATTACACGCAGATATACATCGCAAGTGTCCTTTGCAAAGGATATGTATGCCGTCATTTTTCGCCTACTTGCGCCTTGGCTGCGTGCGTACCGCCGTACCATGCGGGACTCTGTGTGTGTGTGTGTGTGTGTGTGTGTCGCGCGCTGGTGGGATGACTAACAACAAACTTGTCTCCAAATTACCGTGTCACCAGATCGACCAACGATCCGAATATGTCAAGAAACGGCCCCCCTCAATTAAACTCCATGGAGTGTGTGTGTGAAGCAGAGAAAGAGGCCCAGAGACACGGCGGGGACAACTCAAATTCCTCCGATAAATACCCTCCGCGCCGAACGAAAGGGTGGGCTGGCTCATCGCTCTCGATCGTCGTCGGAAATAAAAAGTTTGGTGGTATTTTTGGGTGTATTATCGGTTTCGGGAACGCTCACCCCATGATTGAGTGGGGCAGAGGCAAGAGACCCTACACTTTGCCCATTATAAAGAGGGAAAGAGAGTATCACGCACGCGATGCTGCGGCGAAACGGGAGGGAGACACACGATTATTTTCGGGGTGCTCAATCGGGGTGTTTTCGGTGATGCGCGGCCCATAGAGCAGCATTTCTGTTTTATTTGGCTTTCTAGGCAGTCGTCGTTGCTTTCATAAAGTAAAAAGCGCGGCTCAATCTGTTGGAAAGATCTTGTGTGGGATAGTGCGTGATATCATGAGAGCGATACACACACGGGACACACACACACACTTGCGAGGCGGCGACGCCAGCCAGCCTCCCGTGTCTGGTCCCTGCTGCGGTCGCCCTGGACATGACAGGTGGGGAGCGGCCCCTGGCCGGGCTACCCTTTCGGCACCGCAGCGGTATTTACCCTGAGGGCCTTGGGGTCCTGGAGCAGCCCCGACGCAGTCCCGGCGCAACCCTGGCGCAGCCCCCCGGAGAGAGAGAGGACCCCCGCTGCGCGGCCCCGCGGTGCTGGGGAGCTTGGCGCAGCCCAGCGCACCCCGCATTTGGACACAATTAAAACATTTCCAGGGATCCATTAGGGCATCGCGAGGCTCTGTGCTTTCCCAGGTGTCTCGCCACATAATAACGGCGTCTAAAAGTTTTTGATAAGGAAATAACGATGAGGTGGCATCAGTCTGTTTGTTTTTGGCGCCCGCCTTCTTGTTTCGATAAGGTCGCGACGTCCCACTCGCGGGTCGATCCCAGCAGCGCGCGGCGCCTTCTCGGAAACGTCTTGATTCCTTATGCAAATAGCGCGGCCGACGTTTGACGGCGCGATGCGGCGACGGCACCACCAACCGGAGACGGGACGGACGGACGGGCGGCGACGGCCATGGGAAGCCGAATTGAAAAGTGTATCCATCCATCCGTCCCATAAAACAAGGCAAACATTTGCGAATAACATTATTGTGGGAGCCGCAACCTCTCGCACTGGGCGGATCAAGATGCCCCTTCGTGAAATGTTTCGTATTCATATTACAATACTCTCAAGTCAGCAGGCCTATCGGCAGGTTACCTTCTCTCGGCGTCAGTTTCGTTCTCTTTCTTTTTTCCCCCTCCTAATCCCCTCTGATTCTGATTGCCGTTTCACATTTTCGTTCATTACCCATAATGCAACAGTACGGCAACGCCCTACCTCTTTAACCCGCCCTTTGCGGCCCATTTTAACGGCCTTCCAGTCCGGTGCACTTCGACCGGGCCGCCCCCGAGCGCGCCTCGCAACGCCCCCGGCCCGCCCCTCAGTGCCCGCCCCCGGCCGGGCCCCCGCCGCAGCCGCCCCTCGCGTCGCCCGAGGGCACAAACGCTCCGCCCATACCATGGGAACGGGACGGACCTCTGCGGCAGTCAGTCGTATTCGCTCCCAAGGCCCTCGGGGAGGTGAAGGGCCGAGGGCCCCGGCGGCCCCGGCCTGGCCCGCCCAGCGGACGCATAGGGCACCCTAAGCAGTCGTGGGTGCCCTGCCCGGCGGGGCCTGGGGCCCGGGCGGGGCCTCTCCGCAGGGAGCCGTCTGACGCCGGGGGCGAGGTGCGCGGAGCAGAGGGCAGAGGCCTGCAGGCCGGCTGCAGGGCCGAGACTCCTCCCATCCTGCCCCGAGGGCCCAAGTGTTTACTCCGTTCCGGCCACGGAGCATAGGCGTTCGGCTTTACCGGTGGACTTTTTAAGTTATGAGTTTGTCGACGTCGTTTCGGTGAAATGAGAGAGAGGGAGGGAGGGAAGGGGAGGGCAGTAAAATGCAGTGTGAGGTGCGTTTTACGCAGAGCAGCCTCACTGCAACGAGTAATAACAATCAATGAGGAGGCCCGGGCGCTAATTCGCTTTTAATGAGTACCTCCGAGATTACGTACAGGTGACTGTGTGTGTGTACGTACGTGGGTGCGATCGTACACGCACGTCTTTCCTTCGTACGCGCTCGTCTCTTGAGTCGTGAGAGAAAGGAAGGACGAAAATTGTACTGATGGGATGGGACATTATCTGTCAAAACGTATTCACAAACACATGACGCGAGCAAAGCGGCGCGTGTGCCTTGCACCGTTTAAATATTTCCGCTCATGTTTCTTACGCCGGGTAGGTTTCGTTGCAAAGCCTTGTGGTGGGTGTGGGTGCGTGCGGGTGATGGCTTGATGAATTTGGCGCAATAGTGAAAGGGTGTGGCCGCGCCGACTGTGTCTGTGTAATGTGAAGTTGTTGTCCGCTGCAGGGATAATGGACGCATAAAGTGCGTGGGCGCAAAGCAAAGCGGCGGGAAAATTAAGCACAGGCTGCGCGCGTGTGTTTGTGTGTGCACACGTCTGTGTGTGAGAGAGGGTCGAAGAGAAGGGGGCCGCAGGGGGCTAGAGGGAATCAGCGGTGGAGTTACATCACGATCACAACCGCCCAATTGCTCGGGTTGCTTGTATGACAGACGACGAATCATTCGTCAAGAGAGAGAGAGAGAGAGAGAGAGAGAGAGAGAGAGAGAGAGAGAGAGAGAGAGAGAAGGGGGGGGGGGGAGGAATTAGCTGCCGTAAAGGTGACCTCTCCCAACCTCCCTCCCGGTCCAAGGAGGTCGAGTCTCCACCATACATACAGGTGTGCCAGCCCACACGCTGCCAGCTTGGACGACCCCCCGAGGGAAGTCCCCGCGCCGTGAGATTGAGTTTCACACTTTTTTACGAGTATTTCCTGCCGTATTTGGGCATGGTGACGGGGCCCGGGACATCGCTAGCGGATTTGACAGGGACGACGAGGACTGGAACTGGACAGACTCTAGGGAAACAACGAATGTAAATCCACGCAACTTGCCCTCCTCGCGCCAGTTCCAGGGGGGGGTCTCCAGGGTCCCGCCGTCGGCGCATCCAGTGGGGCCTATTAGGCGGGACGGTCCCTGATGGTCGCCCACGCGACAGTCTGATTTATATACGACGCTCTCGCGGTCAATTTGCATGCAGTTTGCTCGTTATATTATTACATTATATCGAGCCTTTTTACCCCTTCCAGCCATAGCAGCCTGCTCTCCGGTAGCAACAAGGCGCGCGCGGCTGACGTATGCTGATGACTCTATTCTCGAGCGATAAGCCTTTGGGCCGGAGAGCACTCCGCCCCCGCGGCATGCGGTTGCAGACCCCCCCCCCCCTCCTCCTCCTCTCTCTCTCTTGCACTCTCATTCGCGCCGCTCGCACTGTGTCTCATTCTCTCACGGGCCGCGGCGGCCGCTTCTTGCAAAGCTTCAAATGTCGTAACGAGTGGCATTAATTGCCCGTTGACAGCCAAGCCGCGAACAACGACTAGCATGAGAGTGGCGGGCGCCTGTGTGTGTGTGTGTGTGTGTGTGTGTGTGTGTGTGTGTGTGTGTGTGTGTGTGTGTGGTCGTGACGTTGCCGCGACCTTCCCTAATGAGCGGTCAGTGGCTGCTGCAGGCTGCAGCGGAGTCCTCGCAAGGCCGCGTGCGTGCATACATAACGTCACTATGTGCGAAGGAGTCTCGAGATAGTGGTAACTCGGTTAGGACACTGGTAAAACAAGTGTGCAATATTTGCACACCAACGTGTGCAAGTTGTGATTTTGCATATTACATGGTGTTTAACTCAAGTTGCACACTTGCGTGGTGTGCAAATTTTAGACGTTTTGTAAACGTTTAAATTCTGCACACTTGGACACACACAGCTCTATGCTGTCAATAGGGAAACATATGGTGTGCAGCTGCTATACGTTTCGGAAGTGTCGAAAGTTAAACACCAATTGACGTATAACATAGTTAGACACCACAAAGTGTCGAGAAAATGCACACTTGAACTTAGACGTCAATTGACGTGCAAAATTAAACACTTGTTTTACCAGTGGAGGACGGCCCTAAAAGTTGTCTGGGGGGCACCCTGAGGACGCTCCTTACTTTTTCGTGTAACAAATAAAGTCCATTAGGTATGAAGCCTTCCTTGCCTCTTCTTCTGTCTCCTCTTCTCCAAAAGTGTATTCGTTTTATTCTCCTTACGAGTCGTATACGTTAGTGATCTATTATTTGTCTTATTTATCGCGCGACTTTACCTTTTTTTTTCTTCTTTTGGATTCAGTTGGTGGTGAGGGCGTATATTTATTGGGTGTTGTGTTTAATATCTGCCGCAGGGGTCCAATCCAGCCACATTAAGGTCGTTGGCCCAAATGGAGCACGCTGCGCGCGGGGGATCCGGAGAGGTAAGTGCAACCATTTTCTTCGAATTTTGTTGGTATGTGTGTTACTGTATCGTCCGTTCGTTACGTTGCGTTAGCTACACTGCTTCCGCGACGCGTTGAGGACCCACGTGGCTGATAAGGAACCACCGCACCAGTTCCAGAAGCCCCTACACGTTCTCTCTCTCTCTCTCTCTCTCTCTCTCTCTCTCTCTCTCTCTCTCTCTTCCTCGCAGCCGGCCCCTCTCGCTCAGTGGCTCACCCAGCGGAGCACATTGGGTGCGCGTCTGCTTGATACGGCCATTACTCCACGTCGGAGAGGAAAGGATGGCTGCAGCAGGGGCCGGCTGAGAGCGCAAGCGTTACAACAAACACACGGAATAATTCTGTTTTTAAATTTGATGAGACGAATCCGCGCTGCAGAATGTCCAAGAAAAGCAGTCTGTCTCTTCCTTGGCATATCAAACTCGAGCTGATCTCTGTCCTTCTGCAGCATTATTGATCCAGTGCTGGCTTCGTGCCGGCCCCCGCGGGTCGGCGGCCACGGCGGGTGCACCGCGCGCTGCGCCCGACGCGCCGTGAAATCTCCCGACATGGGCCCCGCGCTGCGCTGCGCCGCTGCGCGCCCCGAAACTAGAAGAACCACTACTAATTTGAACCGAGGAAAAATATATTTGGCTGGCACGAGCTGCCTGCTTCTGGTTCTTCTTTTCTAGTCGTTGAAGGGCCGAGCGAGCAGGCTTGTTGCCGCTTTGCTCGCTGCAGTACAACACTGTCGTAACTTGACCTCTTCGGCCGCGGGAGATACGTGGGCCTGCCGCCACCGTCGGCGCCGCGTTCTGTATCTGTCGCTTCTCCATTTTGTCAGTCGGTGCTTAGCTCTCGTCGCTGCTGATCTCGTACGGCTCGATGATCACTGATCACTGACACAACCGAAAGGGACTTTCCAGTGCTGAGTACCGTCGTGATCCTGGATCGTCTAGTGAACTGCATAAACTGCGTAGATAATATATTTCATTTCATTCTATTCTTTACATCCTTACTGTACATTTTATAGCTTACTACTCAAGTTTTGAGCAGCTCTGCAGCTGATGACCCTGCTGCTGCCCCGCGCTGACCCTTGGCGGACTGCAGCAGCGCGTCCCAACGATTTATCTCCTGCTGCAGTCTCTCTCTTTCTCTCTCTCTCTCTCTCTCTCTCTCTCTCTCTCTCTCTCTCTCTCTCTCTAGCGCGCGCCGGGGGTGTTCCTAGTGCTGCCATCCCTCTCGCACTCATCACGGGGACATGGGCGTTTGTTGTAGCGTGAGACAACACAATAACTATCGCATCGGAGTGCGTCGTCACCGCCGCTGTATCAATGACACATCTGATGGCTGCTTGTCAGTCTCGTTTGTTCGCGCGCCACGGTTCAAACCGCGCTGCTGTCATGCGCCCTTTGTGTTTTAAGGTACCACTATTATTACAGTATGTAAATGAGACACAAGAAAGGTAATTATTATCATTGTAAAATAATAATTGTATTACAGATAGCGGAAAATAGTTGATGTGGAAAATTGTGTGAGTAGTCATATGCGGCACTCAGTACTATAGCCTGGACCCAGTAAACTAAAAGGGCCTTTCTCATGGGCAGCCCTCTTTTATGGGACCCCCCGTGGCAGCAGTTAGACGGGCGACAAAAGGCCTCGTGGTGGCAGCGCTTTGATTCACTCACGGGCGTCGATTTGACGGATGGTGGTCCTTTTGGTGCTTTAGTCAATCTCGTTTTGGTTGTTTGGTGTAAATCTCTTTTGGTGCCGGGCTATCGTCGAGGTAGCCTGTGTTGTCGAGGAGGCGACTGGAGGGAGAGGTTCGTGACCCATGCGAGAAAGAGAGGGGAAGGGGGCAAGGTCCTGCAAGGGGCACTAGAAGCTTTATGACTCAAATCCAATTCAATTATCCTGTTTCTCCTACGCGGTTCAGTTCTATAGGCTCCAAACAGACGTGGTGTGAGTTTCAACAACTTACGTTCAGTTTTATTGTGAGTGAGTGAGTGAGTGATCCCTCGCGCAAGTCAGGGGTGGTGGTTTTATCGCTGTACATTCGAAATGTTGATATCGGATGGGTAGGGGAAGGCCGGGAAGGCCCAAACCTGAGATCAGGGTAGAGGAAGTACAAGGGGGGCGAATCAGGAGAGGAACGTGAAGAGGAAGACGCAGAACGGATGGAGACGGTGAAAAAGGACGATACGAGAGCTCTTTTTTCTCACCGAAAGAAGCCAAATCTTTCCTGGAACGTGGCTGCTCAGACCGCTCCCGCACCTTGAGCACACAGGAATACATGCATGAGACGAGGTGTCGCAGCCCCGCGCGTGCGTGTTTGTGTGTGCGAGAGTGTCACCTACCTACCCAAGCGACGGCCGCTACTGGTAATACCGCTAGCATTTCTCACGCACAACTCACACGAGTGCGTAAATAATGAAATGAGCAGGAAACGAAAAATGCACTGATAAATCGGGTGTTTGCACGTTAGGTAAAAACTTGCAAGTGAGCAAGTGTGCAGAGGTACACACTTGCTGCTGTTGTTCAAACTCTGTCCATCCATATAGTCGGCCATTTAGAAGATCGGTTGAACGTATTGATTGATTTATCAGAGTGTCGTGCACGAACCTTCCTCCTGTCAAAGTTCCGTTCAAAATGTATATGGTATTCGCAGTCCCGTACGTTTGCATCCAGGATCGACGTGCCATGTGTCCCCATATGTGCAGTGAGTTATCCACTTCCTCCCAGCACCGCTCTCAGCGCTGACGCCCCTCACTCACTCACACGGATCGCGGCCATGTTTCGCGCATGAGCTGGCTCCGGATGACCGATCCCTAGCACCTCTAGCGCCGCGCGCCCCGCCGTGCCACACCCCGCACCGCCACTCGACGCCCACGCGGACAGCCGAGGGCCGCAGAGCCTGCAGTTGTTGTCTTGGGCGCTCGGCTGCAGTTTAGGTTCCCAGGCTCAAGGAAGAGAGAGGGAGAGGGAGAGACGGAGAGATGAGCGACACAGAAAGAGAGAGAGAGACGTACGGGCGGTTTAGCACTTGACTTTGCTGCCTCACTTCCGGTGGACAGGACATCACGTGACTATCATGCATGCATGTCGGACAAGTCTGTGTGTGTGTTATGCCGACCGGAAAAGTCGAATTTCATGTCTTCTTTCTCTGATTGCTCGAGTCTCATTCCTAGCCTACATTTATGTCAACTCCCCCTTCACGAATTCTCCCGCTCCGTGTCTGTAAGTTGGCAGGGACAGGCCACTCTTACCAATTATTTCGCAGCGTGGGCGTTTCAGTTTTATTTGCTCCTAACTGATGCTGACAGATTCATGTTTTATACATGTACATTCTTTTTTTTTTGCCGTGCCCTTGAACTTGACAGTGCGCTATGTGTGGTGCGTGTTATGCCCTTTGTGAAAGAGGATGAGTTGCTGCGCATAAATTAAGATTTTTATCTTCGGGGCCAATACGGCGCAGGCGGGGCCGGCGGCCATAGCCTCTCGGCGGCCCGAGCGCGTCTCTCACTGTTCTCCGTCTCTCGCTCCGTCTCTCACTTGCTCTGCCTGCCGTCTCTCGCGGGGCCCTCCGATTCCGGTTCGAGATTATAACGCGGGCGCAGAGAAGAGGAGCGCGCGGCCGCCGCGGCGCCGCGACTCTTTTGTCAGAACCATTAAAAACGCGGTCAACGAATCCATTGTCTCGCCTCGCTTGTTATTCCCTCGAGGTGCATCTCTGGCTGCCGCGGCCGTGACGGTCACACACCGCCCGCGGGGGCCCAACTCGACGACAAGGTTTTGAGGACGCTTTGCGACTTTTTACAGCGACAAAGTGAGCCACACGCGAATGGGCGTCGCTCTAAAACATATCCACATTTCCATCTTTAGAAGATAATGAAACTTTTCTAGTCTTTTAATCAAGCAGCTTGAAACTGCCGGTATGGCTGGTAGCACAGTGCTCCCTATCCCCCACTCGCGCGTGCTTGCCCGGCCGGGGATTAGGACGACGACTTTAGTGAGCCGTTCTGCCGCGGCTGATCCTCGTGCGATGAAAAGATCCCTCTCTGATCCTTTCCCATCCGAAATCCTAATCACGCGCGTCACAACAGCGCATCCGCCTGGCCTCTGCGCACGTCCGCCCTTAGAGGTGTCGAAGGGATAAAGCGGGGAGGCTGGTGATCGCGATGGCGCTCGTGATAATGATGGTAATAGGCAGCGCTCCTTGTGTATATATATGATCAAGCGTCGCTTTGTGTCCGCGGGCGGTGCTGGACGCGCGCGCTCGGCCACGTGGTCCGTCCGTCCGCCCGTCCGACTGTCTGCACGCGGTGTCGCTTTCTATCTCTGGGATCAATTAAAGGAGTGTGCATCAAGCAGGGTGGGAAAAAATTGTGTACCCGGAGTCGAGCAGCTGCCACCCAGTTTTTGAACCCATGGCTGATTTTAGGTGTTGGTGCAACTGAGCGTACTTAAATGTTTTTATGACTGCCTCCACAGTCGTTAGTCACCCTCCCCCCTCTCCTTATTATTTAAACAATCTCTATGTCACATCCCCCCATGCTCTCTAAGTTTCCACCTGCCCCCTTCCCCTCCCCCAAATCCAACTCGCCCATCCAGTCCCCCCCCCCCCCTCCTCTCTCCTCAACGACATGAGTACCCGTCATGAAGACTGTACGGTCTTGATTGACCCACATAGTGTAACATGTCTGTGTGCGTGTGTGTTTTGTTCCTTTTTCCGAAAGCTCTTCTCCCTCATGATCGACTCGACTGATTTGCTTCTTCACCGACCGACGGGCCGCCCGTGTGTGAGAGAGACTGTGTGTCTGTGTGTGAGAGAGAGAGGGAAAGAGAGGGCAGTGAGAGACTTTATAAACAAAGACCTGCTTGGCTGGGATGAAGTTCGGCTTGCATTCGCTATAGAATTAGTGCGAGCGAGCAGGCTGGCCCAGCAAGCTTGGGTGCTAGAGAGAGAGAGAGAGAGGTGGGCGCCGGGGTCCATCTCTGCA